GTAGAACATGGCGCGACTTTAGCTCACTGAGTACATGACCCTTGATAGGAGGGTGTAGAGGTCGAGGATTAGGGTAGAAGATTAGTAGGTAGTTGAGAGTTTTCCCCTTTCTTACCGGTAGGACTAGTAGCACGCATATACTTTCCTATTTACCAGAATTATATTGCATCATGTTGTTTAGTTTGTTTCAGCTATCGGTTTCTCCTATTGTTACTATTTTGGTGCTACTTATTCTTCTCTCCCCCCTCTTTCCCCTCTCTCTGTCTCTCTCTCTTTCTTTTTCTTCTCTCTTTTTCTCCCTCTTCTTCTTCTTCTCCTCCTTCTCCTTCTTCTTCTCCTCCTCCTTCTTCTTCTCCTCCTCCTCCTCCTCCTCCATACCTTTCTAAGTCGAGAGTCTATTAGAAACAACCTCTCTATCGGGTATGTGGGATTATACCGGGTATGTTGTTGTTGTTGTTGTTGTTATTTTTGTTGAGTGTTCTACCGATCCAACAGTGCAATTTGTCACTGAACAACTCACTTGTTCAAAAATTTGAAAAACAACCTCTCTACCTATATTACAGACCTTACCCCTCCCCAGACCCCACCTGTTGGGATCTGGGTATATTGTTGTTGTTGTTGTTGTTGTTAGTCTAGTTAGAGCTTCCAAGTTGTAAAGGATGGATTATGAAAGTAACTTGGAGTTTTCATGAAAATGAATTTTTAGTGCCTCCAACTAGAAGCACTGGTATTAATTAGAATGGCCAGCTAATTCAGTTTGGTCAATGCCTAAGTTAATAGGGATCTCTAACTAAGATGGCAGAGAAAAGGTGTTGGAAAACATCAGGTGAAGTTTGATATTCCACAGCCTTAGCAATCTGGTGGTCAATCTAGAGAGAGAGAGAAATGCAAAAATTTTTTAAGCAAAAAAGAATTTGTGATAACTACTAGTTACAGATGTATCACTTTGTTAATATGCTGACGCAAAGGATTTGGAGGCCTTGCTAAATATTTTGAGCTCATTACACAACTTGCAATGATGTCGTACTTGTAAATATTTTGAGCTCATTACACAACTTGAAATGATGTTGTTCTTGTAAATATTTTGATCTCATTACACAACTTGGAAAGTTGGAGCTCTGTACTGGCAGCCTATATTTCGTGCGTGTCTTTAAAGGGCATTAATTACATAGTTATTGGTGCATTATGAACTTGAACATTAGTGTGTAATCTGATTATGGCATAGCACAGACATGCTTTTTGGTGCATAAAGTAGTTTATTCTTATGATTTTTAATTGTTGGTTTCGTTAAAATATACTGCTTTAACTAATGCATAATGGTGACATCTTAGAATATTATTCGGTGTTGTTCTGAAAGAGAGGGGAAAATGATGGACTATAATTAGACTAATGTAAACTCTAGCAGTTAGAAAAGGTAGGAAGAAAATATGAAGCTCCATTCTAGCTGTCATATGGTGGGTCATTTGGAAAGAAAAAAATTTGAGATGTTCTGAAAGCAAAAGAAAGAACATATACAAGCTGAAGTACAATATTGTATTCATCTTAAATAGCGCAAATGACATAGGCAATCAAGCATCAATCCTGAGCCGATGGTCTAATTCCACCTAGTGGCGACTATTGACAAACAGGAGCTTGATCTTTTTGAGGGTTGAAAGAGCATCTTCCATGTTAATTCTTGCATCAGGTATCACTACAGTGCAGCTCAAAGCTAATTCCATGATAGATAACATATATTGCATCTTTGTGTTGGCTTTTTCATCCTCTGCTCCACTAAATTAGCATCCACCACCTTATGAATTCCACTTGAAAACGAATCACTAACCCAACATCGTATGCTCAAGTCCCCAGTAAATCTATCATCACTTGGTCGCAATCTTGTAAACGTCTCCATCATCAAGATGCCAAAACTATAAACATCGCTGATCGTGGATACTATTCCATCTTGGCCATACTCTGCAATCATAGTCGAAAATAATTAGAAGAGCTTCCTTACTAGAATATTCTAAAACGGTTGTTACCAATCTATATCCAAAGGAAAGAATTAGTGTTTTGGGTACTCTAAGGATATGGGGAAGCTTTAAAAGTTATAATACCTGGAGCAATGTATCCAATGGTTGCAATTATCCTAGTTTGAACAAAAGCGTCTCTTGCACCTAACAATTTTGCAATGCCAAAATCACTGACATGGCCAACCATATCTTGATCTAGCAAGACATTGCTTGGCTTCAAGTCACAATGCACCACATGTGTTGAATAGCCATTGTGAAGATAGTCCATTGCAGATGCAACATCTATCATTATATTCAATCTCTGCAACATGTCTAAGAAAAAGTTATGAGAGTATAGCCATTTTTCAAGTGTACCATTCGGCATGTATTCTAATACTAATGCTCTGAAATCAAGGTTAGAGCAACTAGTGATGACTTTAGTAAGATTTCGATGGCGGAGGTTTCTTAGCATCTCACATTCTGTGTCAAAACTTTTGAATGCACCCTCTAATTGCACATTGAATACCTTTGCTGCCAAAAGAGTACCATCCCTAAGCATCCCTTTATAGACCATGCTGAAACTCCCACTACCAAGCAAGTTGCTTTCACTAAATCCTTCTGTTGCTTGTTCAAGTTCATAATAGGAAATTCTTTCATGCCCTTTGACCAGAGTCACATCTGCTTGACCTGCATTCTTCTTTTTCTTTCGCAATCTTAAAAATACATATGCAAGGGCTAATGCAAGAAATAGCAGCCCCACTCCCAAAAGGACGTACAAAGCCAAGATTGCCTTTTTCCTCTTTGACCTCTTAGTAGATTTGACGACACATGGTGACACATGAAACTTAGAATCGCCACAAAGAGCATCATTGGACAAGAAAGATTGAACTGTGGCATTTGCAAAAGGACCTCCAGTGGGAATCAATCCACTGAGTTTATTGAATGAGATATTTAGATATTTGAGAATTGAGATTCATAAGGTCTTCTAGTGACTTTGGAATTTCACCACTAAGATTGTTAAAAGACAAATCCAAGACTTTCAAGGCCAACATTTTGCCAAATGAATCCGGAATAGGCCCGCCTAATTTATTATGTGCTAGAGAAAGTTTAATCAATTCATCAAGACCCCCTAAAGTGTTAGAAATCTTACCAGAAAAATTATTTTTTGATAGATCAATGAGTGTTGCAGCCTTTAAATTTCCAATCTCTAGAGGAATTTTCCCACTTAATAGATTGGATGAAACATTGAACTCTATCAAATCTTTAAGGTTCCCCAAGCTTATAGGTAATCCTGAATTCAGCCTGTTGTAAGATAGATAAAGTTCCTCAAACTGGTAACGTTCCCTAAGCACGCTGGCACTGAACCAGAAAAATGATTTCCTGACAAATCTAATGCACCAAGACTCTTTAAATTACAGATAACATTTGGTATGGTTCCTTCTATCTTGTTTCCATATAGGTAAAGTTCTTGAAGTTTCAACATGTCTTGGACAGTTTTTGGAATATGTCCAGCCTATAAAGTTCAGTTGATAAGGAGGTGAAATGATGATTGTATTGAATCTGATAACAAGCCTTAAATACATAAATTACAACAAACTAGAGCTGAAGTAAAGTTAACTGTCTTCTACAGAAGCTCCTATATAATAGAAACTAATATCTACTCCTAAAGATGCTCCAAATTATGAGGAGACTTATTCAAACTGTACCAATCAGTAACAAGAGATTAAGAAGATATTATCCTATGACTTAGTCAAGATAACCATAAGATAAGATGGTTAATACACCCCCTCAAGTTAGACATGGTGCAACAATGCCTAACTTGGAACGACACCTAGCAAAGGCTGGTTTAGGTAGTGGCTTGGTGAAGGTATCAGCAAGTTGATCACAAGCATGAGTATGCTTAACATGAACTTGATGAGCTTGAACTTGGTCTCGGACATATGCGAAATCTACAGCAACATGTTTCATGCGGGTATGAAATACTGGGTTGTGAGATAAATAAGTAACTCCAACATTATCACAGAAGATTGTTGGCATCTTCGGAATGGTGACATGTAACTCACGGAGTAAGTTTCGCACCCAAGTGAGCTCCGAAAGTGCATTGGCAACTGATTTATACTCTGCTTCGGTGGATGAGCGAGCCACGACATGTTGCTTTTTTGATGACCAGCTGACTGGATTCAGACCAAAGAAAAGGATATAACCTGATGTAGATATTCTGTCGTTCGGGTCGCCTGCCCAATCGGCATCAGCATACACATATAGATTAGAGTCTGAGCTGCGAAGGATGCGAATGCCTGAACTTGCTGTTTCTTTGAGATACCGTAGTACTCTTTTAACCGTTTTCCAATGTTTATCAGTCGGAGCATGAATAAATTGCGATAATTTATTGACTGCATAAGATATATCAGGCCGAGTGAAGGACAAATACTGCAATTTGCCAAGGGTGCGTCGGTAGCACGTTGCATCAGTAGGGGGGGAACCATCGACTACCCGAAGCAGTTGACTGGAACATGTAGGAATAGAAACGGCTTTACAATTATCCATATCCAGTTCGGAAAGAATGTCCAAAATATATTCAGATTGAGAGAGAATGAGACCATCTGGTACTTGCTTAACTTCAACACCCAAGAAATAGTTTAAATGGCCAAGATCCTTCAATGAAAATCGATTTGCCAAGGAACTGATAACAAATTTAATCAATAGTGGATGATTTCCAGTGACCAAAATATCATCAACATAGACGAGCACATAAATAGTTGCAGCCGAATGCCTCAATACAAATAAAGAGGTGTCAGATTGACATTTAACAAAGCCCATCTTCTGTAAATGTTCATGCAAGGCAGTATACCAAGCCCGGGGGACTTGTTTGAGGCCATAAATAGCCTTTTTCAGTTTGCAAACATGGTATGGAAATTGGGGATTAACAAAGCCTCGAGGTTGAGACATAAAAACTTCTTCATCCAATTTCCCTTGCAGGAAAGCATTATTGACATCAAGTTGATGGATTGGCTATCTGTGTTGCACAGCTATTGATAACACTAGCCTTACCGTTATTGGTTTAACAACGGGACTGAATGTCTCATGAAAATCTAAGCCAGGACGCTGCGTGAACTCTTTTGCAACTAGACGAGCTTTGTAACGTTCTATGGAACCATCCGCTTTTCTTTTGATTCGGTACAACCATTTGAAGTCCACAACATTTGTGGTTGGATCTCGCGGTACCAATTCCCAAGTCTGATTTTTCATCAAAGCATCATATTCGGCTTTCATTGCTTGTCTCCACTCTTCATGTTTGTTAGCTTGTTTGAATGTTATAGGCGTAGGAGACAAATGGGTCAGAAAAAAGAATGTTCTTTTGGGCTTGAAAATATTATTCTGTGACCTGGTTATAATGCGAGTTGGTTCTGGTGGTATTGTAGGGGAGGGATCAATTGTAGATGGGTTTGTGGTATTTAGACTGTCAGAGAGTGCCGAAGTGGAGGTTGGAGGAGGGGCTTCTCTGGTGGTTGATAATGGTTGTTGGGATGGCATGTTGCTGGCTGTGGTTCTGCGTCTCTGATATGTGAGCAAAGGAGGAGGTTGTTGCTTATTTGTAGCAGTATTTTGTGAAGGAGAAAGTGCGGGGAGTTGCAAAGAAGAAGGAGAAGTGAGTTGTGTATTACCTGAATTCTCTGCAGCTGCTGGTACTTGGCTGTTGTTGTTGGAGTGAATATCTCTATTGGAATCAGTAGAATGTTGAAAGTTGGACTCTAAAAAGACTGGAATAAGCGATGGGATAGAGGGAGGTGGAATTTGAATTGTATTTGGACTGTCCTCTTTTGAGTTAACCACTTCCCAACATACTTTGGAAGTATTTTTTTGTAAATGTATGAACATTTTTTTAAAAGGGAAAATTTTTTCAAAAAATTGAACATCACGACTTATGAAAATTTTAGACTGTGTCGGGTCAAAGCAGATATGAGCGTGGTGAGTGTGAGAAATACCTAAATACACACACGAGGTGGATCTGGGTTCAAGTTTATTTTTGGTGTAAGGTTTAAGCCATGGGTAACAAAGACAACCAAAAACTTTTAGTGTGGTATAGTTAGGAGATTGACCAAATAACTTTTGGTAAGGTGACTGATTATTTAGGATGGGTGTGGGAAGTCGATTAATAAGGTAGACAACATGATGACAGGCAAAAGACCATAGTTCAGGTGGTAAAGATGCTTCATGAAGAAGAGTTTTAGCCGTTTCAATAATATAGCGATGTCGACGTTCAGCTATGGCAACACGTTGTGGTGTGTAGGGAGGTGAAATTAAGTGTTCAATGCCATTTTGCTGAAGATAGGGGTGAAGACCTATAAACTCACCCCTCCATCTGTATAAATTGAAGAAATTTTTGTTTTGAAGAAATTTTCTACCAAAGGATGAAATTGTTTAAATATCGATGCAACCTCACGTTTATTTTTAAGTATATACAACCAAGTATATTTGGTGTATTGATCAACAAAAATACAGTAATATAATTTTTTGTTTAGTGATAAAACGGGTGATGGTCCCCATAAATCACTAAAAACAATCTGAAGAGGAATATTACTGGACAAAGTGAGTCGTTGAAATGGCAAACGATGCGCTTTATTAGAAGAACAAGCATTACAAAATTTAATTTTCTTTTTTTGGTAGAAACAGGTAAAGAAAACTTTTTCAAAAAAAAATTTAAAATCGTAGAATGTGGATGACCCAATCGACAATGCCAGAGATGAAGTGGGGCTTTAATGGAGACAAGGCTGACTGATGGTGGTGTGGGTTGCAGATGCGGCCATTCATAGAGTCCATTTTTATTTTGGCCTTGTACCAGCGGCTTCAGAGTATGCAGGTCCTTCACAACAAAAGTAAAAGAAAAAAATTCAACAGATGTTAGGTTATCTTGGCAAAACTTAGCAACTGAAATTAGATTCTTTTTAATTGATGGAGCACAAAGAGTGTTAGAAAGCTTGAAAGCAGTTTTAGATGCTTGTATTTGAGTTGAACCAGTATGAGTGATGGGAATGGTTTTACCGTCACCCATGGATATTTCCTCATTTTCTGTATACTCTTCAAGGTTGTGAGGCTCTGCAGTAACATGGTGCGTTGCACCAGAGTCTAGAACCCAGGAGTTTCTAGTTGACTGCATGCTAGAAGCAAAGTTAGCTTTAGCTTCAAAGTGATTGTGCGACTTGGAGCGACAAACATCTGCCGTGTGCCAAATCTTTTGGCACAATTGGCATTTGACATATTGCTTAGATTGTCTCGAATTTTGCTGATTATTGGAATGCCATTGTCGAGGCTGAGATGATTTCCATGGCTGATTATTGAAANTGGCGGTTGTTCCTGTTGAATTGAGGAGGCGTGTTGGTTTTCTGGGCTACAACTGCTGTAATCATAGAAGATGATTTCTCAAGGTCTTGGTGTTTGAGGAAAAGCTCGTGATCTGTGAGCTTGTGAAATAATTCCTCAAAGCTCAGAGAGGAGTCTCGTGCGCATATCGCAACAGATATTTCGCGATACTCAGGGCCAAGGCCACTTAGAATTTTGACAACAAGTTCGTCATCAGTGACAGGTGAACCGACAACTTTGAGAGCATCAGAGAGAGAGCGGACCTCCTGTAAATACTCTGCAATGGATTTCGAGGCCTTCTTGGTGTTTTGCAATTGATCTCGCAAGCTAAAGATGCGAGTATGACTCTTGCTGGCGTAAGCCGTGTGAAGAAGTTCCCATGCTTTGTGAGCAGATGAACCTGTGGCAACAGTTGGAGCAATAGTAGGATCGACGGATGCCATCATTGCTTGTTGGATCAATTGATCCTGAGAGAACCAGATTTGATACTTGGGATTTGGTACAGTAAGATTATTTTGGATAATAGTAGGTGAAGGTGCAGTTATGGTTCCGTCAAGATGTCCCATGAGTTGGTGACCATTTAATAGCATCACAAGTTGAGCTTTCCAAGTTGAGAAGTTGAGGTTACCTTGTAGTTTAATAGGTAACTGAGCAACAGGATTAAATTGTACCACATGAGTGGTAGCAGAGGCTGCAGGATTGCTGCTGGCAGCAGTAGCATCACCAGAGTTTATGACTGAAGCCATGGATGCAGGAAGTTTAAAGGGAATGAATTGGATCTAACTCGGTGGAGTTTATTGATGCCCTGATACCATATAAAGTTCAGTTGATAAGGAGGTCAAAGGATGATTGTATTGAATTTGATAACAAGCCTTAAATACATAAATTACAACAAACTAGAGCTGAAGTAAAGTTAACTGTCTTCTACAGAAGCTCCTATATAATAGAAACTAATATCTACTCCTAAAGATGCTCCAAATTATGAGGAGACTTATTCAAACTGTACCAATCAGTAACAAGAGATTAAGAAGATATTATACTATGGCTTAGTCAAGATAACCATAAGATAAGATGGTTAATACAGCCAACTCATTGTTTTGCAGACTCATCCTTGTCATTCCAGTAAGATTACCAATTTCTTCTGGAATGACGCCCTTCAGTTTACAACCCTGTCCTTCAAAAATTTGCATAGCAGAAAAATTTCCAACTGATGCAGGAAAAACACCATCTAACGGATTCTCAGCAAAACTGAGGACCCTTAATTTCCTACAGTTTGTCAAAGATGTCAGGAATCTCATTGCTGAATCACTGGAAAAATCGTTCCACTGCAAGTTCAGCATCTCAAGGTATTCTAAGTTACCAAGTGACTCAGGAATTGGGCCTGTGAAACTATTGATTCCGAGATCAAGACCTATAAGTCTTGAAAAATTTGAGATAGAAGCAGGGATAAAACCACTCATATGATTATATGCACAATTAAATTTTTCTATGCTGGGCATTCCATGGCCTAAATCTGATGGTAGAGTACCTCAAACAGGGGCCTATGTAGCATATAAGTAACAGGTTGAACTGAACCTATAACTTTCGATGCGGAGCATAAATTTATGTGTAAAATTTAATAAAATTTGAACCCATAACTTTAAAAATATAATGAGTTTAATGCTAAAAATCTTAAAGGCTGAATCCATAGAATTTAAATCCTGGATCCGCCTCTGACCTGAAAGCCTGTTTTGTTCAAGTGCTAGGTTCTGCATTGCTGATATGTTGAAAATACTTGCAGGGATAGAACCAGTAAACTCATTGTGGTATAATGACAGTGATCGTAGTTTCTTAAGATTACCTAGCTTCACAGGTATCTCTCCTATCAAGTGGGGAAAATATGAGTATCAATTTGATGGAAGAGAAAAAATAAGCAAACTTCAGTTTTTTCTTGTAAGGAAATATCACACTACCTCCCAAGTTTTGTACTCCAAGATATAATTCTGTAAGAGCTGTCAAGTTGGCTAACTCTCTTGGTACAGTTCCAATGAACTCATTATTAGACAATATCATAATATCAAGCTTTCTGCATTTTTCTAAGTTTGGTGGAATAACGCCACCTAGGTGGGTTTTAGAGATGGCAAGCACTTCCAAGTCAGGAAGATGGTCACATATAGTTGTTGGAACCTTACCAGTAAGATTGTTTTTGGAAAGAGCAATGATTTGCATTGTTGTAATGTTAAAGATTGATGGTGGTATAGGGCCTCTAAGCTGGTTATCTTGCAGAACTAGGATAGTCATATGACGAAGATCACCAAGTTCTCGAGGGATCTCTCCTTCGAGATAATTTCTAGACATACTCAACTCTTTCAGCTGTGTTAGATTGGAAAGGGAAGATGGGATTCCTCCGAAAAACTGGTTTTCGAATAGGTAAACAAAGCGAAGGTTTGGCAACAAACTTAAAAATTGATGGAATAGCAGCAATGAAGTTATTTCTTGAGCAACGAAACATTTTCAACCTCTGCAAATGAGCCAATTCTTCTGGAAACTCCCCATGGAATTTGTTGTTGCTGATGATGAGGGAAGCGAGAAATGAGAGGTTTCCAAGGTGTGGAGGAATAGTACCATAAAGTTGCATGCTAGAAATATCCAAAGCTGCGACTCTATGGTGGCGAGAGCTGCAAGTGATTCCAATCCAGCTGCATACTGGGCTGGAAGAAGACCGGTTAGTTGCTAAGATGTTGTTAGGATCAGAAGAAGAAATGTGAGATTTCAAGGCAAGAAGAGCAGCTTCATCAGTGCTGATATTGGGAAACTTAGCCAGTGAAGTATGGTGATGAAGCAAAATGAAAACTGCAAGAGCAAAGAGAAGACTGCAACTTTTGTCCATAATTATAAGAAGCAGGTTTCTCCTTTTCCTAAAACAAGAATGAACAATGCAAAGATCTTGGATGATCTATTTAATGATATAAATTCACAGGATACCAATATACTGTTGTTAGTGTTTGGAGTGTCAATATCAGAGTGGAAGTAAGTCAACCGCTGATGGAATATTTTTGACTGGTTGTGAGTTGTGGTCACAGGTGTCAGTCAACTAATGGACTAAACACTTGAAAAATTATGTTATTGAGTGGAAATGAATAAACTTATGGACTAACAGGTTTGAAAATGAAGTCCATATTATAAGAAAAATCAAATTATGGTGGATGTCTACTCTTCCTCCATGATCTTCTCAAATGTTTAATGACATATTCAATGATATATTTTTATGGTTAATGACATATTTAATGACATATTTTTCTTCACTTTTTATGCCTTTATAAAGGACTTGTAATAGATAGAAAAATATACACAATTGAAGAAGAAATACTCTTCCTTCTCTCTATCTCTATTTCTTGTTCATGTTTTACTAAATTGCTTTTATTTCATAACTTGTTCTTGTTCATGTTTTACTAAATTACTTTTATTTCATAACACGTTATCAGCACGACTGTGCTCCCATTTTTGTACACCCTCCATATAGGCATAGACTGTGCTTTGTGTTTGCTATCCTTATACCAACAATTCTGTGGCTATCAAACAAAATAAAGATAGAAGCCAATGGGCTGGATACTAATACAAGATAAGTTTTCATCTTTCTAGCTTATTCATATTTTTATTTTTATCTTTCACTAATCTCAAAATTTTTCTATTTTGCCATGATAACTCACAATAAGCTTTCAGTATTTTATTTCCATTTTGTTATAGCTTGAAAGTGTGCGAGCCCTGCATTGGCAAGTATAGTTTTTGCTTATTCTTTCTTGACGTCTGATATGAATTTTTAGTTATCGTTTGGCTATCCTTCAAGGGATCTATTCATGAACCAAATCAAAATGCATGAATATATATTTTGTAATTAAGTTTTGAAACAGGTACTCTCTACTCAATTCTTTAACTTATATTTAACGTGCTGAATAGTGCTTACATATATGTGCGCAGATATCAGACAACCAATGTGCCCTTTACCCTTTTCACGCTAAGATGAATGTTACTATGGTAATATTTAATGAATAGAACTAAACTGGTACTATTCCTGCATAGTTGGTTAAATGCATGCATAAATAAACATAATATTGTGGCAGGATAGTTGTAAGCATAATAGATATTCTGATTTACAGTCAATCTTAGCCTTTGACTATCATCTATAATCCATATATTATGATGTGAATTGGATCGCATATGTAGATACTGGAAGTACTACAGGAATTATATATATGCTTCCAAGTCCTAGTCTTTATTCTTACTTTATTGATTTGGTTTATCGTTTACAAAATTGGTAAGTGTTCTAACAGATTATCTAGTATTTATTTGAATGCACTTCTATTTGAATTCACGTAAATCTAAAAGTGATAACACTTAGAAGGAATGAAACGTTTTCGTCCTACAACCTTAAAAAGTGGTTATATTTTTAAATCTTGTTATAACTAATTTTGTTTATGTTTCTGACCACAAGATTGATAATTTAATCTTGTACTTTGGTCTATTATGCAATTAGTTAAGACATATTTAAGTTCTGGTGCACTATAATAATAAGAGTTAGGTTTGAGTCCCAACACATTTTGCCTAACATGCCTTTATATGGGTAAAGCATTGGATTTGAGTCACAATGCACAGTATAGATGAAAGAATTATGAAGCCCGCCTTACTTGATATGCTTCATTCAGTGAAGCGAATGTGGCAACAATATATGATAAGTTTGAAAGACGACAAAATAATTTTTCATGACTGTATGAATGTACGAAGACATGACAAGGGACGAAATAATAATTTGTCTTCATTATGGTAACTATAAAAGGAGAACAATAAGGGTTCTCGATGTAATCCTTCAAAAAGGTGAAGGAAATATTTACCATCAAAATGGTATGAAAAATTTATAAAGCATGTCACAATAATTATACTCCATTTTTTTTAAAGAGAATGTGACTTGTGATAAGCATTGAGAATGCAGACTCATTCCTGAAGGTGAATGTAGCAATATGTAATAAAAGTAATGAATAAATACAATGCATGATTGGATACATGCCACAACTCACCTCTAAGGGAGGTTTGAGACAAAGAAAGATAATGAATATTACTGTGTAGTTACATGAATATATCATTGGTCGCATACAGATGATACGCCAAAAATATTTTGTGATGACTTATGAAAGTTATTAAAAGCAAAATTAAAGCAAGAAATTATTTTGCTTATGATGATTTTGAACATGACAATTATTATGATATGATTCTCTTTGTGAAGGAGACATTCATTATATGGATGGTGTGACAAAAGATCTTGTAGTACAAAAGCAGTTAAGAGCTTTGAAAGAACTAATTTGTTACTACCAGGATGAATCAAATTGTTCATGACATTAATATTGTAGAAAGTCTCAAAAGAAACATTTTGATTTACAAATATATTAGCCAAAGTGGTTGGCATATTGAGACTTTGAATAAAAAGAAGATTGAATATCTTTATATTACTATAATCATACCGGGTAAATATGAAAAGTTACCTGACTTTTCTTCTATTTGTAGTACACAAGTATAAGTATGATGATGCAATCACAAGCCACAAGTAAGCTAGAGGTTTACTAAAATAAATATTAGTTGGCATGACCGGTTGACCATCTCGGTTCAATTATGATGCGAAAAATTAATTGAAAATTACATTGGCATATATTGAAGAAATATAAGATTCTTCAACAATTGTGTTGCTTATTCTCATGATATACCAGTTGAGGTTGGGATTGAATCCCTTGATTTCTGGAACGAATAAAAGGTGATAAATATATGGGCCCAGTCACCTTCCACGTGGACCGTTTATTATTATATGATTTTAATAGATGCATCTATTCCATGGTAACATGTGCATTTGTTATCAACTTGCAGTTTGGCTTTTGCAAGATTGATTGCTCAAATTATTAGAGCATAGTTCCAGAATATAAATTATGATGATTTATCTTGATAATACTGGTTTAAATCCAAGTTGGTTTAGCAGAAATTGTATGCCTCCAATTATATCTAAACCATTGGTTATGAGAACAAAACTGCCAAAATAAAATTTGGTATGTGATGTATTATTTAATATACAACAGCACTTGTACGCATCTAGCCAAGTTATGATAAGTTCTCCCTATCACAATCGGTTCAGGGTCAGGAACCAAATAATTTCCATCTAGAAATATGAATGTGCTATATGATTTAATTGTTCCACCACAATGCACAAAGATGGATCCCCAAATAAGGCTAGGGATATGTGTTGGTGATCCCAAGAATATGGGAGAAAATGGGCAGCTAAAAAAGTAATGCATGCAATGAATTATTATGAGTACATCTAGATCCTCGTATGCGAAAATATGAACTTGAAGTTCAAGTGATAATTCATTTGCAAAATATTACCAGGCGTATTTGCTGACCCAAGCTAAATGTCATATTCAGCTACTAATGCTCCAAATAAAATAAAGTTCATAATGAATAGAGTCTATGGCATGCATGAAGCATAATAGACTAATCGATTCCGAAGGATAAAACTCCTTGTAGAAGGAGAAGAGCAAATGTTCAAGATGGTTATAATAAGGAGGCAAGTGCTCTAAAAGAGCACCACGACATAACACTTCATAAGACCTCATAGGAGAGGCTCAGGTACCTGAAAATAATAAGATAAAAAGATCTCAATAAGTTATGTCTTTATTGGGTAATAGTAGAACTGATATAAAATGATCGTCGATGATATTGTAAATATAATGTAGCGCTCAATATTATTAATATTGACGAGGATCTTGAGATCAAATCTGTCATGAAATTTGGATAGTTTGGCCAAATAAAAAAATACGCAATGAAAACTGATTTCACCTGAAAAATATGAAGTTGGACGGATAGTCCCAACACCTAAAATTATAAAGCCAGTGGAGGTATAAATGTGTTCTTGTACGAGAAAAAGTCAAGTCGATAGACATAAAGACGACTTGTGTCACAAGAAGATTTGTAAATATCCAGGCGTTGATTATATAGAGACATGTTCCCCTCTGGTGGATGTCGCCATTTCAGGTTTTAATCTGGCAATACAAAAAAAAAACGTGATATGCGTATAATGAAAATCACTGAAGGATTTAAATTGTTCTGAAGCATATTAAGGTTTCCAAGAAATTTATTAAATAAAGCTTCAAAAATTCTTATACGGATTGAAATAATTAGGGCGCATGTGGTATAATCGCCTGAGTAAGTACCTGTTGAAAGAAGGGTACAAGAATGATTCAATTTGTCCTTGTATCTTTATAAAAAGATATGGATCTAAATTTGTTATAATCACCGTGTATGTTGATGATTTAAATATCATTGGAACTTCTAGGGAGCTTCCTATAGCAGTAGAGTTTCCTAAAGCAGTAGACTATTTAAAGAAAGAATTTGAAATAAAAGATCTTGGAAAGACAAAATTTTGTCTTGGTCTACAAATTGAGTATATGAAAGATGGAATTTTTGTTCATCAATCAACATATACTAAAAAGAATTTAAAGCGATTCTATATGGATAAAGCACATCCATTCCGACCTCATGAAAATAATGAAGAGTTTCTTGGTCCCGAAGTACCATATCTTAGTGCAATTGGTGCACTAATATATCTTTTTAATATTACAAGGTTTGGCATAACTTTTTTAGTTAATGTCTTAACAAGATATAGCTCTGCTCCTACAAGGAGACATTGGAATGGAATCAAACACATATTGCGATATCTAAAAGGAACTACCGATATGGGATTATTTTATGGCAATGATTGCAGTCCTGATCTTGTTGGTTATGCCGATGCTGGGTATTTATCTGACCCACGCAAGACTCGATCTCAAACATGCTATGTGTTTACATATGGAGGCA